TGCAATAATGCTTATATTTTTACTGGATATAAATGACTTTCTTCTGAGTGCTGGCCATTATCAGAACAAGGATCTGATGATAAATAAGCATTTGATCAAACCCACTTCCTTTTCCTTAAGTTCTTTATTTTCAGGTTTTGCAGAAGCTGCTCCTGTAATTAATTCTCCATTTAAAACCGACTTTGTCACCTGATTGATTACAACCTCTCCAAATGTCATCCCCTCCAGGCAAGTGGGTCTTCAGCTTCACAAAACCAAACTGGCTGGGAATTTCTAAGCTCGGGATGTTCAGCATTGCTGGAGGACACCAAAGCTGGGGAAGCCTAATTTAATATATTTATGAACTGCTTTGAGAAGGCTCCAAATATGCATATGGATATGAAAATCTATTTTCTCTGCATTTTGCAACTCAGCTTTGAATAGCCTTGAAGCTTTTCCTTTATCCTGGAGCTATTAACTCCCCACTTCTACTCTAGCCACACTTTCTATAATGGCTGAGCAAGCTGGATTTTGAAGCTTTATATATATATTTACTAGATTTAAGCATCACCTTTCTACTGCAAGCACTCAAGATAATTAAAACTGATGGCTTCAAACTGGTCCTGTTTACTTCCAATTCAGCCAGATGTAGAGCTTGACATGAAAGTCACAAATATCTGTAGCTCCCAACACCTACAATTGTTGTTGTTTAGAAGTAAAACAAATTATAAATCATCCATTAAGAAGAAATATGCTAAACAATGTCCACAAACCTAGCCACAACTTGACAAATCTGAGCTTGCCTACACTTCTTCAAAGACAGTTTCAAAGAAAACATTGGAGTGACTAAATAGAATTTAAAAAGTATGTCCCTTGGGGAAAAAAAATTAAAGCTATTGCCCATGTGGGGAAAAATCCTCAAAGAATTGAAATACTATCAGTTGAAACATAATAAAATGCCTAATAAGGTTGGGCCAAGAAAGAAAAAAGAAAATATAATCTAGATAGAGGTATAAAAGCCAAGGAGAAGAATGTTAAAAGGATTGCATTAGAAGCAGGAAGCTTGCCAGAGATAATGGTTTGTGTCATTAGACCATCAAGATGTAAAAAGAGCACTTAGGGAAGACAGAAATATTATGGAGAAGTTAAATGACTGCTTTGCATCTGCCCAAGACAAAGCCAAGGTTGGCAAAATAGATCCAAATTTTTTTCCACTAAGGCAATAAATCTGAAGAAGTGACACAAACAGAATCATCTTTAGAGGACACTTTAGAACAAACAGATAGATTAAACTCATAAATCACTAGCAGCAGATGGAATTCTCCCAAGAGTCCCAAAATAACACATAATATGAGCTAGCTGTAACACCCAATTCAAGACAGGTGATTGTGCCTTGCTGTCTGAGAAAAGGAAGAAGCAAAAAAACAAAACACTACACCTCAGAATTATTACACAGTTGAACAGCACCTACCAAAGAGATGCTAGGCACTGCCATTCAATCTGTTTTTGTGAAGAGAGAGAGAAGAACATCTGAAATGAACTGAAGTAGCAAATTCCCAGTAAAAAGCTGGTGATGTCAAATATCTGCTTGGCCTGTAGCTGTGCACAGTGCCAACTTTGAAAATGAGCATGGCTGTGGCCATTTTCCCTATTCATTTTCAGTTGACACATTGAAGGGGGGAGAGGGAATTGCCAGGTGATTCGCTAGTCAAAATAATCTTTTGTCCCATGGGAACCAAGGTCATTGGCTACTCCTGAGACTGCTGGCTGGGCGTTTTTGTGCAAAGCCTGCCAAGAAGATGTATTGGGGAATGTAGTTGCTTGCATAGTTTTAGAGATGGGATTTCTTAACTTTGTATTGGGGAATTGTTACGTGTGTCTTCAGACTTGCTGATACTTTGTAATTAATAAATATGTTCTTTGAGGAATTTCCAAGCCTCAGAGTACTGCTTTATTTGTCTCTGTCTGTCGGAACCATGACAACAAGCTTGCTTAAATCCACCTTGCCCCAAAACAAAACAAAACAAAAGCTAATTGGTGTATCTCTGAAAACCCCAGGCACTCGAAGCTGATTTCATTGATGAAGGCTGGCAGCAGTGGGACTTACTACGTGACCTCTCTTGTATGTATAGTATGCTACTATGAATATTCACGCAGCCACAAACAAAAAGGAAATGATGCTTGGAATTAGTGGCTGAAGAGGGATTAAATTGAGGCATGTTGGTGATCTAAAATATACAGCTGTAAGCAAAGCAGTCCCTTCAAGCCACTACACAGAAAATTGTAGCCAAGTCTTTTTCAAGGCAAGCTGGATTCCTTCATGGATGTGTCTGTATAGTTTTGTACAGTTCATCAACAGCACTGAGGAGGCTACCTAGTTTGGTAAGGAAACATCTGCATGAAAACCCCACCAAGCTCAGAGAGCATCAAGAACCCCACAGTTCAATCCTGAGCTATAAATAGTCTCTTTTATCCGTATAGTTCTCTTGACAACAATATGGAAAAGGTTGGCACTGCCTTTTTCTACATTGTTTCCTCAATCCCCAGGTTATTCTACAGCGGTGGCATTTTCTGGTGGACTTCCACCCAAGTGTGAACCAGATCCCATTCCAATTAGCTTCCTGAAATCAGCTAGGACTGCTTAGATGCTGCAGTCAAACTGGCATTTACATATGTTTGTTATGAAGTCTAATCAGATGTGAATGAATGTACAAGATATGTCTCCATACAGAAGTATTCCTGCAATGGGGATTCTAAATCTAAACATCCTCTTTTTCCTCCATGTGAGGATACTATTTGTGTAGATCAGCCAACTATGCTGGCTGGGGAATTCTGAGAATTGAAATCCACAGGTCTTAAAGTTGCCAAGTTTGGGAAACCCTAATGTAGATGATACTGTATATTATTAAAAGTGACCAGAATGTATGAAACTGCCTTATAGAACTAGTGAAAGGAGCACTGCAGCCAACCTTATTGATTTTGTTCTTGCTGTTTTTGATTATTAGTGCATTTTCAGGAATAAGGAGATTCATACATGGTTGGAAAAGATGACTAAAATACAGATAGAATTTAAACCAGAATTGTTTCTGTTAGGAATACTAGGAGCCAAGTATGAGAAGGAGAATTCGTATTTAATATTGCATATACTGACAGCAGCGAGAATAGCATTTGCCCAATACTGGAAAAATGATAATTTACCAACTGAAGAGATCCTAATTAAGAAAATTTTAGAATGTGCAGAAATGGATAAATTAACTTTAGAGATTAAAGAGAAAGAAGACTCAGTTTATTTCAAAACGTGGGATAATTTTTACCAATGGTTAGCAAAACGAACTAGTGAGAAATGAATGTGATATGTTATCGTGAATACATACCAGTAAGATGAATGATACGTATTGACTAACTGATACCGTTTAGGATTATCGTTTCTCATATTCATTATAGCTATTTATTATTATGTTAATTAGTGTTATTGAACATATGTACCCGGACAATAGTCTGTTTGCTAAAGCTTGAAGATGTTAATGGGGGCAACCCCATTGTTGTTCCCATCCCTCTCCCAATCCCAATCCTGATTCCCATCCCGAACCCCAACTCCCAGAATGACCCCACCCCTTCCCCAACCTTATAAAACTTAATAAAACTTTATAAAGAGGAATAAGGAGATGGTGCAATAACTTTTATAGAATTTGTCTTGTCTTTTTGGTTAGTTCTCCAGCTTGGGCCCAATAGATGAAGACAACCACATAGACAGGATAAGACAAACACAGAAGAGGTGACCCTACTCAAGGATGGGGGTTCATTTTCAGGGTGGCTCATTCATTATTTAAATTCAAAAACCAAAAAAATAAAAACAAATAAAAACAAACCCAAACCTACCAAGTTTTTCCACATTTAAAGTTTCACCTCACTTTTACACACAATGAACTGGAGAGAACCTGAGAGAACCTGGAGTTTTGCCTATTATCTTTTATGTTCTTATTTTTTTTAAAAAAAAGGTTTCTATATGAAGAGCATTTCGCACAATTCTCTGGTCTAAGTTGGATGTTAATTTTTCTACGGTTAGATCAGGTTGGGGCTTTATATTAAAACCAATGCAAAAATCCTCGTTGCATTTGGCCTTAGTTTTAACTACTTGTCTCCTGCTCCCAAAAGATTAAAGGCTTAAAAACCCCTCCCACTGCCAAAGTTGGATTCTAGTCTAGATTGGGCACCCCTGCCATCTACGTTGATATAGTTTTTAAATGCTATGTATTAAATCAGGGATGAGCAATGTAAGTCCCACAGGCAGTGCATTCACAGTGAGATCCCCTGAGAAGCTGCTGCTGAAATTTAGCAGGGAGCCATTGCCATATCTAGTCTGGTTCTTAGATTGAAGAACCAGACTTTTAGGTTATGAATGAATAACAGAGTTAGCAGGGACCTTGGAGATCTTCTTGTCCAACCCCCTGCTCAAGCAGAAAACTCTATACCATTTCAGACAAATGTTTGTTCAATCTCTTCTTAAAAGCCTCCAGTGTTGGAGCATTCACAGCTTCTGGAGCAAGTCGTTCCACTGATAAATTGTTCTAACTGTCAGGAATTTTCTCCTTAGTTCTAGATTACTTCTCGCCTTGATTAGTTTCTATCCTTTGCTTCTTGTCCTGCCTTCAAGTGCTTTGGAGAATGGGATGACTCCCTCTTCTTTGTGGCAGCCCCTCAAATGTTGGAAGACTGCTATCAGGTTACCCCTACTCCTTCTTTTCATTAAACTAGACATACCCAATTCCTGCAACCATTCTTCATGTTTTAGCCTCCAGGCCCCTAATCATCTTTGTCGCTCTTCTCTACAATCTTTCTAGAGTCTCATCAAAACTGGATGCAGTATTCCAAAGGTGGTCTTACCAGGGCATCATAAAGTAATATTAACACTTCACAGGATCTTGATTCTATCCCTCTATTAATGCAGTCTAGGACTTTGTTGTCTTTTTTTGACCAGGCAGCCATGACTCACAAGGAAGGTTAGGGGACCTGAAGCCCACTTGATAGGTGGAAGGGAATGTGCCTTGAAAGCTACTTACCAGTTCATCCCGTTGGATTTCTTGGGACTTGTATACCATGCCTTTGACATCTGAGGCAGACACATTGACCTGTAGGATGGATGGGGGATGGTTTTTGATTTAGGTTATACAATCAGGGGAATGCAAAGCTGGATGGGTAATCCAGCAACATTATCTTCCTCTTAGCGCAAAATCATTCCAGTCACATGAGACAATTGCAATCTAATCCTTTACAGAGTGCGTAGCTCCTGTACTCCAATATGTAACCTAAATAGGGAAGCATTTTCCTCTTTCAAGCTGGAACATGGGGAAACATGGCCTGGTCCTCCACATAATGGGAAAATGGCAATGCATCAACCTTCACAAGACAGCAATTATTCATTTGAAAGCACACTCATCTCCATCATCTCCTTGAACATAGCAAAGTTAATACATGGAAAACAGATGGGCTCAGGACATATCACTGCATATAAAAAAAAAGGGCCAGGCTTTGAACTACCACCTCAGCAATGAACAATCCTGAACAGGATTCGCACCTCACACAGTGTCTGCCGGGACTCCATGTATAAATGCGGCATAGTATTCTCCCCTCACTATGACTGTGGGGTCCCACGTCAAACTGTAGATCACATTGTGACCAATTGTAAGCTGAGGGCATATACCAGTCCAGTATTTGTTTTATTTTTAATATAAACGATGCTGCACTTCAATAGTTAGATGGCCTAGACCAGTGGTGGCGAACCTATGGCACGGGTGCCAGAGGTGGCACTCAGAGCCCTCTGGGGGCACGCGCGCTGTCACCCCAGTCCTAGGCCTTCAGCTGGGTTTTATAAAATCCTTTTCGCTTTAGGCCTCCACCGCCGTGTGCAAAAAAAAAAAAAGGTTCAATCAGTCAATTTCAACTTCTTGCGGGAAAAACAAAGATCTTGCAAAGTTGGAATTGATTGATTGAACTTTTTAGTCCCACCCAGTCGGCCGTTACCACCGCAGCAATGCCCACCCAATGGGCCACACCCACCCAATGGGCCACACCCCAATGGGCCACACCCACCCAATGGGCCACACCCAGCCAATGGGCCACACCCACCCGGCACTCGACGATGCATAAGTGGGTTTGGTTTGCAGTTTGGGCACTCGGTCTCTAAAAGGTTCGCCATCACTGGCCTAGACACTGGTATTTGAACATTGATCTTTTAAAATGTCTGTGTCATCCAGGTCATAGTTATCCCAAAGGTGCTTTTTCACGAGGCAACTGGACTTTCTGGGTTTTCTTTGAAGACATTTCGCTTCTCATCCAAGAAGCTTCTTCAGCTCTCACTGGAGGGTGGGATCCTTCCATTCCCCACCATCCAGTCAGAACTGAAGCTTCTTGGATAAGAAGTGAAGCGTCTTCAAAGAAGAACAAAGTCCAGTTGCCTCCTGAAAAAGTACCTTTTGGGATTGATAACAACAACAACAACAACAACAACAACAATGTTGGAAGGAACCTTGGAGGTCATCTAGTCCAATCCCCTGCTCAGGCAGGAAACCTTATACCATTTCAGACAAATGGCTGTCCAGTCTCTTCTTAAAAACTTCCAGGTTGGATCATTCACAGCTTCTGGAGGCAGGTTGTTCCACTGGATTAATTGTTCTAACCATCAGAAATTTCTCCTTAGTTCTAGGTTGCTTCTCTCTTTGGTTAGTTTCCATCCGATGCTTCTTATCCTGCCTTCAGGTGCTTTGGAGAATAGCTTGACTCCCTCTTCCTTGTGGCAACCCCTGAGATATTGGAACTCTGCTATCATGTCACCCCTCATCCTTCTCTTCATTAGACATACCCAATTCCAGCAACCGTTCCTTATATGTTTTAGCCTCCAGTCCCCTAATCATCTTTGTTGCTTTTTGTACTCTTTCTAGAGTCTTACTTTTTTCACCATTGAATTTCATTTTGTTAGATAGCGCCCAATGTTCAAGTCTGTCAAGATCCTTCCGTATTTTAAGCCTATCTTCTGGAGTGTTGGCTATTCCTGCCAGCTTGGTGTCGTTCGTAAATTTGATGAGTTCCCCATCTATCCCCTCATCCAAATCATTGATGAAGATGTTGAAGAGCATTGGGCCCAGAACAGAGCCCTGGGGCACCCCACTACACACTTCCCTCCATGTAGATGCAGTTCCATTGAGGACCACACGCTGAGTACGGCCGGTCAGCCAGTTACCAATCCATCTGGTGGTGATGCTGTCTAACCCACATTTTTCTATCTTATCAAGTAGTAGGTTGTGGTCTACTTTATCAAATGCCTTACTGAAGTCCAAGTAAATTATATCCATGGCATTCCTCTGGTCCACTAATTTTGTCACTTTACCATTTATATTTCATTGTGTTCTACTGATCTAGATGAAATATTAATATGTATTGCTAGTCCATATATAGGATTTAGGATTTGGATTTATTATATTTATACCCCGCCCTTCTCCCGGAGGACTCAGGGCGGCTTACAGCCAGTTTAAAAACAGTTTGATACAAATACAATACAAAATTTAAGAGAATAATTAAAAATAAATATTTAAATAGGCCGTTTCTACTAAAATTTAGTTAAAACCAATTTAAAATACCCCTAGGCCAGTCCTTTAGCATATTCCATATGCTAAATAAATAAATAAACTGCATATAAGAAGCTTAGTTTTTCCACTAAGTGGCTTTAAGATGTGTGAGAATTCCCCAGACAGCATGCTTCAGTCAGTTGAAGCCCATACATCTTAAAGCCATCAAGGTTGAGAAACAATGATCTAGAACATCAAATGATAAAGAGAGTCAGTATAGAGTTTGGTCACTTGTCTCAAGCAAAATTGATGGAGCCATCTCTTAATCTGACCTCTTAATCTGACCTCTTATGAGATTAACCCTTAATATTAAGTAATCAGCTTAAAAATCAAAACCTCTATTATACAACAAATAATTTGATGTTACATAAACATCACTGCATTTAAATAATATACTGCATTCAAGATTCATAACAACATAATAAAAAAGAGGGAATAAACACCACTGGAGAGGGAAGCCACATATATTGCTCTGAATTACTTAGGACAAGGTAAGATTAAGAGATGTCTCCATCAACTTCGCTTGAGTTTAGTGACCAAAGTTTATGCTGACTCTCTTTATTATCCAGATGTTGCTGAACTCTAAGTCTAAATACTATTAGCCCTAGAAGGGTGGAAACTGTGGCCTACCAATTTCTACAGCAGTGCTTCTCCACCTTGGGAACTTTAAGATATCTATGTGGACTTCAACATCCAGAATCTCCCAGCTAGAATGGGTGGCTGGGGAATTCTGGGAGTTAAAAGTCCATGCATCTTTAAGTTGCCAAGGTTGAGAAACGTCATAGAGGATCCCATATAATTCTCTCTCCATTTTGGAAGAAAGGGGTATGTAATTGTAATATACAGCAATAGAAATAAAGGGCAAAAGATTTCCTCTGCACCTACCTTATGTTCATACTCATACAGCAGGGCTTTGTCACTAGTTGGGTAGTCGTATTCTGCCAGCCCTGAAGCTGCAGAGAAAAGAACCGGGTGAAGGTTAGAGGAACAGAAGCCTCGGTTGGTAACAATCCACACGGCCCTTTCCTTTGGTCTCAGCCATTGCTACTAAAACCTACAGAGACGGGCTCCATGAAGGTCTTGAGCCGAGAACTTACCTTTCTTGTCGACCGATTCAGAATCTGCCCATTCCCCACACAGCATCAGAAGGAGAGGAGGAGAGCGCGGCAGAAAGGAAAAAGAGAACAGAAAAAGAAAAATAATTTTGAGAAGAAGAGGCAAGAGACACACAATATGCTGAGACAGGGGGAGACAAAGCCCCAGGAGCAGAAAAAAGGGCACTCTCTTCCCCAATTCTCCCCCAACAACAACAAGGGAGAAAGAATGCTTGTGTTTAAAACAATTCCCTTAACTAGTTACTGAATTAACTCATTTTCTAACTTTATACAATACATTGAACCAAAATCTAGTGCAGGTAGTCCTCATGGTTATGATGACATTTGGCATTGGAATTTCTATCATAATGGAAATAATGCAGTCATAAAGCAGCACATCATGTACTCATATCACTTAGGGACAGCAATCCTGGCAGTCCCAGTTGGCGTCGTAACCCAGGGGCAGGGGTCACGTGACTGAGTCCTAGGCAAACGGGCTGGCGAGGGCCATGGGCGGACACTGAGTGGCTGGGGAATTCTGGGAATTGAAGTCCACACATCTTAAAGTGGTTAAGGTTGAGAAACACGAATCTGGAGGAAACAAAAGGAAGTACTGGCAAATTTGCTGGCTGGGGAATTCTGGGAATCAAAGTCTTAAAGTTACCAAGGTTGACAAACACCACTCTAGATCCCATTCCTACAATCAAGGAAAAGAGCTGGAGCAAGCAGCTCCATTTACCATACTTCTCATCTAAGGGGCTGGAACCAATACCAGTAGCCCTACAATTCAGCCCAAAATTTATGTTGCTGCAATATTTGTTAAGTGAATTTCACCCCATTTTATGACATTTCTTGCCACAGTTGTTAAGTGAATAACTGCAACTGTTAAGTTAGTAACATGGTTGTTAAGTGAATCTGCCTTCCCCACTGACTTTGCTTGTCAGAAGGCTGCAAAAGGTGATCACATGACACCGGGACACTGCAACTGTCATAAATGTGAGTCAGTTGCCAAGCATCTGAATTTTGATCACAGCACCCTGGATCATAACTCCCTTTTTTAGTGCCATTGTAACTTCGAACGGTCACTAAATGAACAATTGTAAGTAGAGGACTACCTGTAAGTCTTTTGACTAAGCCAGCAAGAAAATGCTTATTTTCTCTTAAATTGCCAGTTACGCAGACTGTTAAATCTTTTCAGTCAGGGCTCTGTCGATTTTTTTTTTTCAACAGATCTCAATATTTCATTCCATCAGAGCAAAAGAAAAAAGAAAAAAAGAAAAAGAAAGAAAGGAGTTTACCAGTCACTTTTATGAGCGTATTATTTTTGTTCTCACTTTTATGAGCGTATTATTTTTGTTCTCACTTTTATGAGCGTATTATTTTTGTTCTCCGTCAGGAACCAAGATCAAAGCGAACAATGAGTTTCAGAGCATTGCTTATCCTTGAATTCTGCTGACTGTTTCCCTCCTTGCGCCGGAGGCAAAACTGTTGTGTTACTATTGCCATACTATTGCCTTTGTGCTAGTGGGAAGCTATTGCTAGCGTAACTTTGACATCAGCAGGATTATAAAAAATCAGAGAGGGAAACTGGAAAATGGTGGAGGCAAAGTGGAAGCTAGACTTTTGGCATGCTTAGATCTGCATTCTTCTAGTACCCAGTTTATCACGGCAAAAGAAATCGGATATACATTAACAGATTCTCTTTGGAAATACTGTAGTACCTTGATGCACCCATTTGTATATAACACCTTACCCTATGATGGTAATCATATCCCATTCTTAATAGTGTGTTCAAAACCTTAAGCTTTTGTTTTAAACTTAAGTGTTCCCCCTATTTTTTAAGATTTGCAGTATGCTGATTTCATGGATTTATTTTGTTACTCTGCCTACTAATGAAGGGATATTACTAGTATTGTTTAAGCCAATATTTCTCAACCATGGCAGCTTTAAGATGTGTGGATTTCAGAATCTCCCAGCCAGCATCAAGAAAAGCATGCTCTTTTAATGCTGAATTTATAGTCCTCTCCTTGCCTATCATATGTAACAGAATTTCTATATTTTTTTCCTGCATCTTTGGCTTTAGATAATTTCGCTAGCTGTCCTCCTCAACTTGCTTGCATGCTCATTATTATTTTCCTTTAACAGACACAATCTATCACCCAAACCAGCCCATTTTTACAACAGGAATATTTTTTCTACATATCAATATTGTTGACACTTTGACATCTTTGAATGGTTCATCTAACTGCCTATCCTAACATTTTTTAAGGTTACATTGTTCAACTACTCTCTAGATATAATAACAACAACAATTAATAGTAATAAGCACCTCGGGTGCAGTCACAAAACAGCTGGGAGCATCTTGAACGCATCTGGGCATTCTTGAATGCCCTCGGCTTTGACAAAATCACCACCAGTCAATTGCAAAAGACAAGTTTTCCTTGGAACAGCTTACATCCTGCAATGATACTTTAACACCATCTAACAACATCTGCTTAACCCAGCTCCTTGGGAAGGACTCGATAGGTGGATAAAAATGCCAAATCCAATCTAAAAATCTGGCTGACAATGCGAAGAACCACAATCAGACACCATATGCAAACACATAGACAACAGAGAGTTCCAGAAACAAAAAATGAATCAACATATTGTTTTTCCTTCTGCTGATTTTAAAAACCTTCCTTCTATTTCATTTCCCAAAGATTCTAATTATTTTCTGTCTCAAACCGGGACATGTTTTTCATATACTGCAAACTAAGATCTAGTGCAGGGGTCTCCAAACTTGGCAACTTTTAAGACTTGTGGACTTCAACTCCCAGAATTCATCAGCCAGCCAGGGCTGGCTGAGAAATTCTGAGAACTGAAGTCCACAAGTCTTAAAATTGCCAAGTTTGAAGACCCCTGATCTAGTGAGATGTTTCAAAACTAGATAGCTTTTTTCCCTACCTTTCTGACCTTTGGTTAGAAAGCAATGAGGAGCAATTTATCTGACCCACCTTCTCCATCACGGCTCTCAGCAGCTAGATCCTCACCACTGTCCATGGGTAGAAACTCTTCTGTGGTGCGGGTCTCGGAGATGGAGGTAGTAAGCAGATCATTGGTGGACACCCGTTCAGATCGCAGCAGCTCCTCTACAAGAATGGAGAAACAGGAAATATATTATTTGGAGCCCTATCTTAGAGTTTTGAGAATCTATCTTGTCTGCTACAACATATCCCAATTTTTTGCAAAGGTTTTCATTTCAGGACATGCTCAGATTCATTCATTCTTTGTAGGAGAACTTTCCTTCTGAGAAAAATCCAGCCCTTCACCCATAGGACAGATGCGCTTTGCAGATACACAGCTGGGCAAGACCAAGATATTTTACAATTGAAGAAGAAATAGTAATTCCAGATGCTTGGGAAGCACTCAATAGAGGGATAAAAATGCCAAATTCAGCCTAAACATCTGGCTGACTGTGTGATCCACCTAGAATTTCCCTTTACATTGACCCTTTTTCTCATAATAGGTCATTCTAGAGCATGGGTGTCAAACTTGCCACATCACATGACGTGTCACGATGTATCGTGACTTTTTGGCATTGCTGGAGCTGGGGTGGGTGCACCCTCCGTATGATGCAACCGGTCCGTTGGCCGGCAGTTTTTGACATCCCTGTTCTAGAGTGTCTATGGAGATTCTCCATCATCCAGATCATGGTTGTGTCAAAGGTGCTTTTCCAAAAGGCAACGGAACTTTCTTGGTTTTTTTCCTTGAAAACATTTTGCTTCTCATTCAAGAAGCTCCTTCAGTTCAGAACTGTAGAATTTGGGGCATTCTATCGTGCCTCTTCCTTCCTCTGGATAAATATAGAAGTATTTAGAAAATTACTCATCCTAGGTAGTAGAAATGATGCAATGAGATACAGTGAGAATATCAAATTAAGTAACCAATCAAACTAATTACTGAGGTAGCCATTGTTTTCATAGTACTTAAGAGCAGGCTGACCTTACAGTTGGGAAGGCATCCTAGTCTACAAGCAATAGGGTTGAACGGAAGACTTAATTTAAGAGCTGAGGAAGGATGATATTTGGGATAGGAAGGATCTGACGCATGTACCTATGTCTCCTCGGAGCTCCTGAGTTAGCTGGGGATTCTTGTATAGTAATGCAAGGCTTTGGTTCATCCGTTCCTCAATGACATGGAGATGAGTATACACCTGGGAAAACACGCAATAATGGAAAATGATTCCTTCTAGAGAAGTTTTTCTCAGCCTTCGCCACTTGAAGATGTGTGGACTTCAACTCGCTGGCTGTGGAATTCTGGGAGTTGAAATCCACACATCTTCAAATGGCCAAGGCTGAGAATCACTGTTCTACAGTAATTCCAAAGACCCAAGATGGCAGCACTAGGTAGAAGGAAATCATACCTGGAATTTCATTTGTTCGGCCTTTTCAGGATCAGCTGCTGCCACGTGCTGGTAATGGCGGAGAGTGTGGCGCTGATCTTTCTGTTCGGCCCGTACATATCTCTTCAGAGCTGCCAGGATGCGGTCGGGCTGTGTCAAAAGAATAGTGTGACATAAATTAGTTGAATTAAATAAATTAGCTGATTGTCTGCTGTTCCTTGGCCAATTCTCAATAGTTCGCCTTTGAGCAAATGGGATTTACTACTTGCCTCTCTTGGTTTCCTCCATTTCAGGCACAGATAAGTACAGGTGGAAGCACAATCAAAAAGCCTTTGGCTGATTTTGAAAAAGCTAAACAGAATGATTGGAAAACTGAAAAAGACTGGGAGTTAAGGCAGTGGTAAACCTCTGTGGTATTGGAATCCTGGAGACAACTTGAATTGTAGGGGCCATCAGGAGCTGAACAAAAGGGATGGCAAACTTGACTTTGCATGATGTGTACAGGAAGTGGAGCCACAGGAAAAATAAAAATTGTGAGGGCTTTCCATATAAAACCTGGCACGCTTAACATGCTAAGATCCCCATTTTGACATACTATATCATTAGGAAGGAAGTGCTGTGTCCAGCCCCACTAACAAGGATAAGAAAATTAATAAAGGAGAATATTTGCAGCTTGGGGTTGAAATGAGGGGCCTTTGGTGCTCTCTGAGCTTGGTTTTCTTGCAGACATTTCATTACTCAAACTAGATAACACCATCGGTGCCATTCCACTAGCACTGGTGATATTACCTAGTTCGGGTAATGAAACATATGCAAGAAAACAACCAAACTCAAAGAAGACAAGAAAACTGTATTTTACCCAAGAGAATTTCACCGAAATCTTTTTTGGAAAAAAAATCAAATTGAGTGAAAAAGGGGAAAGAAAAGATACAATTTTTTTGGCAGAGCATTTGAAAAAAGAAATCACATTATCCTACCTCCAATTTTGAGTTAGGAGCACAGCAGAGAAGAAAGTGGGAGGAGGTGAACTCTGTTTTATTTCTGGATGTCATTGCCTAGATGTGACTTCTGGGATTTTAGCAGGAAACCAGTACCGAGAACGGGGGTGGAGAGGAGTAAATGAAGCTCCCCACTTGCCATTCTGCAGTTACCTTGTCTGCATCAGCGTTCTTCAACGCTGCTTTCCAGATGTGCTGCATGTCCTAAATCCTCATTTAGATATAGCCCGTGGCTATTCTGGCTGAGGATTTCAGGAGCTGGAATATAGCATATCCGGAAAGCAAGACACTTCGGAAAGCTGTCCGTCAGGGAATAGATAATTCCTAACTTCATTAATTAAGAGCACTACTAACACCACGTGCATGATGAGTTTTGTCTCACTTTCCTGCTCCATAATTCTGCTCTGTGCCAGTTTCAGGGCATCATATGTGCTGGCACCACTAACTGTTTCTCCACCGCATGACTAGACTTTACATTAGGGATCCCCAACTCCCACCTGCAGACTGATACCAGTCCATGGCCTGTTGGGAACTGGTTTGTGCAAGTGGTGGGTGAGTGTGCAAGCATGCAAAGCTGCATTTGCACGAGCGGCATGCACGTAAAACCACCCCCTCCCCCTTGCTGCTGCTGCTGACGCTGGCAGTTCACGGAGCTAGAAAGGTTGAGGATCACTGCTTTGAACTCTATTGATTAAATGATGTGTCTCTAGCATTGCTTGCATACAAGAAGCAGAAACCTAGGGAAGAGCATCTTTCTCTTCTATGCGCTTGCTTCTGGAACAGGTGGCATTCCAAGCTCATGGTCCACATGCAGAATCTGCTCCTTGTTCTCCCAGCTCACTTTACATACCAATCTCACATACAGTTCTCCAAGCTACCTGGGCATGGTCGTTCTGTACAGCAGTTAAGTAATTCTCCAGTGCTGCACGACGGTTATCATTAAGCAACGCTACTACACGGGCCAGATGAGTCTCCACCAGCCGCTGGCGCTCTCCAGCCACCTGCTCTTCCAGTGTCTGCAGGACAGATTGGAAGTGCTAGAAAGAAAGAAGAAGAAGAAGAAGGAAGCCATTCAGAATATTTCAGAACAACAGAGTTGGAAGGGACCTCGGAGCTCTTCTAGTCCAATCCCCAACTCAAGCAGACAAATGACTATCTAATCTGTTCACAAAAACCTTCAGTGATGGAGCACCCACAAATTTAGAAGGCAACTCATTCCACTGGTTAATTGTTCTCACTGTCAGGAAATTTCTCCTCAGTTCTAGGTTGGCTCTCTCCTTCATTAGTTTCCATCCATTGCTTCTTGTCCTGCCTTCAGGCACTTTGGAGAATAGGTTGACCCCCTCTTCTTCACGGCAGTCCCTCAAATATTGGAATACTGCTATTATATCAACCCTACTAGACAAGACACATCCAATTCCTACAACTGTTCTTCATATATTTTTTTTGGTCTCCACCCATCATCTTTGTTGCTCTTCTCTGCACTCTTTCCAGAATCTAAACATCTTTTTTATATTGTGGTGACAAAAACTGGATGCTGTATTCCAGGTGTGGTCTTACTAAGGTTTTATAAAGCGGTACTAATACTTCATGTGATTTTGATTCTATGCCTCTGTTTATACAACCAAGGATTGTATTAGCCGTTTGGGCTGCTGTCGCATACTGCTAGCGCATGTGTAGACTTCAACTCCACACAACCTGGCTGGTGAATTCTGGGAGTTGTAGCCCACACATAAAGTTGCCAAAATCGAGCAATAAAGGCTTCTCTTTTCTGTTGTTGTATCAAGGCATTATAAAGCAGTACTAACACTTCACGTGATTTTGATGCACTAATACTGTATCATTAAAAGGGATGTGAACATGGACCTGGCAAAAATTTGGGTGAAAGACCCTGGAAGCTTTATTACAGCAAAATATAAAATTATATTCCTGAACACACGTGCAGACATATGCAGACTCGCTTTCCCATCCCCTAAGGCTCAGGATAGCTCAGTAGCAAAGCAACAATATCAAATTTCTTAAAACTCAATAAAATTAGCATTAAAAGCTTAAAATTACTCAAGCCACCTATAGAGACAATGAAATGCAAACACAACAAAGCATTCCATGCAGAGCTTATTCTCCTAGAAGCAGATGTTTAATTAATTACTTGAATGTGTTTAGAGAGTTTATATCCTGGCTGTCAAATAAAAACCCAGGATGGCTTATAATACTTCATCAAACAGACAATTAAACGATTGACATACATTTTAACAACCTTACTGTATGAAAAATGATAAGATTCTAAAAAATTTGAAATAGTAGCATGAGCATCTCCGCTTTTTAAAATATCTAAATTAAAAAGTTATTTTTTATAGAGAACCAAAAAATTATCAGGGGAGGTTGCGAGACAAAAATCTAAAAGGGAGGTTAGTTCAAGATATTTTATTTATTATAAATTACTCTTTTTTGAAAAATCAATATTTAGAAACTGGCAGCTATCAATGGATGTGCCTAAAGACAAACTACAACATCTGCTCACAGACAGGCCAAAAGAAACAGATATGAGGCCATGTGATTGATTCAACTGTTGTTTTGTTTTTGGTAAAAACATGTTTGGGCCTTCTTTCAGAGTAGGAATCCATTTAAGCTGTTTTCCAATAAAAAAAGAAAGAATGCAACTATTATAAACACAAAACAGAATCAAACAACAGAGAAAGAAAACAGAGGATCCTTGTAATCCCAGCTCAGCTAAACCATTTAAAACAATTTCCTGAAACTAACTTAAATTGTAAACCATGCAAAACGCAAAATGTCCCCCATCAAAATTTAAAGCTAATTTAACAGTTGAATGCAAAGGACAACTCTATCGCACTGGGTCAAGAAACCAGCAAGTGAGGGATCTGTCGGTCTATCTTACTGGTTCACCTTATCCTGGCATGGATTTATTTTTTAAATGTCTTTATCACATTTCAGAAACAAACATTAAAATACAAACTAACATAAAAAGAAAAAAGAGAGAGGAGTTTGGTGAGATTGTTGGCCAACCTCACCTCATTCAGTGCTTGCCGGTCTGTTTTAGGCAAGTTCTTGGCTTCGTTGTCTGCTTCAGCCCATTCCTTCATTACCTGTGAAATCACAACAAAAGGCCAGTGATGTGGTCAATATGAGGGCCTTCTCTTCAGATTCTGACTTCCAATCTCTCAAAGCTAGAGGGAACTATCTGCCTGAGCAAGGAACAGGAAGCTGTTTTCCTGAGTCATGGACTTATAGAATTGTGGATTTGATCATTTGTCCAACTCTCTATGATGTGCAGGAAAACCAAATCCACTCTCTTCTTAAAAATCTCCAGAGAACAGAAAACCAACAACATCGACTTCACTGCTGACACTGTTATCTTGTAATACTGATTCAACATTGATCTCTTCTGATATGAAGTTGAAGTTCAAAAATATCTGATGCGTGATCTGCAAAACTTGTACTATTTCCCCATGGAATAATTCTTTAGAAAACAACAGAAAAGAAAAAAGAAAGAAAGAAAGAAAGAAAGAAAGAAAGAAAGAAAGAAAGAAAGAAAGAGAGAGAGAGAGAGAGAGAGAGAGAGAGAGAGAGAGAGAGAGGGAGGGAGGGAGGGAGGGAGGGAAAGGACTTAAACATGGTCTTACAAATCTCTGTGATCTATAATGTTCATCCATCATTTCTAACTGAGTTAGATCCTCAGTTTAATCTGTCAAGAGAAATGCTTTGATGGTCCCATGGGTGTGTCTGAAGTCACAAAACTGAGCTAACCATACAATGAAAGCTTGCATATATGCAAGCCAAGCAAATCCTCCTTCCTGGCTGTCCAGCCATTACCTCATTGATCTGTTTCATACGACGCTCCTCCAGGTCCATCTTCGCTCTCAGGAAGTTGGCGTGCTCATTCCCATCTCCAGGCATTTCAAAATAAACATCCACCCCATCTGTTGGGCGAGGGGTTGGGGTCACTGTAGAGACAGCAGTCATGTTACACAAGACCAGGCCTTCTTATTGGTCTTAAAAAAAAACCAGAGATAAGGTAAGCTGTTGCCTTTGAAATATTTTGGACAACAACACTTTTGGCTCCAGCAAACATGGCCAAATGGAAAGTACTCTATGCCAGTTAGTGGGTGAATCAAAGCCTAACAAGATGGACTTATCTAAAAGGGGGGGGCATAGGAATGCAGAGAATGTAAACACTCATCCATTATTAACAGACATGATGAGGACTAGGTATAAGAGACAATCCAATTTCTCTTTGAGAGAGGGTAGCACTGCAAGAGTTCGTGAAAGATTTGAGATCTGGCTCAGTGTGTAAATTCTTAATTGCCATAGGATTCTCCCTTGCTCAGAAATTCAACTGCAATCACTACTCTTCCTGGAATATAATAACTATTCAATTACTCTCCCCGTTGGACCCAATTCCTGTAGCAGCCTGACATCGAAGGATTTGCATTCCAAAGCATGCAAAGCACACGCAATTGCTTCCTCTGCTAAAAGGGCCTGACCCTGCAGAAGTCACCTATCTCAAATATTTAAAACCATTCACGCATACAAATCTGTTTGGGCACAGCCTCCTGCAGTGATTTGGTTCAGGACAGAAGGAAGCACATGAGCCCCTTCATTTCCCCCTCAAAAGGATGCTTTGCTGCTAAGCATCCTCTACCCCCCTAGTGTCAGGCAGAGCCAGGTTTAGAGCTGTCTCCAAAACAGGCTCTCCATTGTGAAGAGGAGGAGATGATGGGCACTCAGAGAAGCAGCTGAACAGCTGAGTGTTTCCTTCTTTCTCAACCTAGTAGTAGCTTGCATCTTGCCTCTCTACTTTCCGTGCCCCAGAGGCCCCTATTTTTGCAGAATCTATATCCCTCTCTCTTTTGATCTGTCCTTGAGCACTGATTTTACCATGACTGCCTTTGGCTCAAAGTTCTGAGAAGCCCTTGAAGAAAAAAAAAAAAGGACTTCTTTCATCATTAACAGTTTTCATATGGTGGTCTCTCTCTCCCCCCCCCCCCAGATGCACAGGTTGTCCTCTACTTACAGCCACAAGGCAGCCCCAAATTTCTGTTCCTAAGCAAGACAGTTCAGTGAGTTTTGCCACGTGTTATGACATTTCTTGCCACAGTTGTTAAGTAAATCACTGCAGCTGTTAAGTTAGCCACAGGGCCGTTAAATGAATCTAGCTTTCCCATTGACTTTGCTTGTCAGAAGGTCAGAAAAGGTGGTAACATGATCCTGGGACACTACAACTATCATGAATTCATACCAGTCCTCAGTCCTTTGACCAGGTGACCATGGGGATGCTGCACCGGTCATAAGTGTGAAAAATGGTCATAAGCCACTTTTTTCAGTGCTGTTGTACCTTCAAATGGTCACTAAATAAATGGCTGTTAACTCAAGGACTACCACAAATTTGTAACCATCATTGCCTATTGCCTTTAGATGCCCTGCCCCCTCAGGGTCCCTTTTGCAGTCCCAGAGCATCCAGTTTTTTGTTTTAGGGAGACATTTGAGGATAAATTAACCTCAAATCCGTCAAAACAACCTCAAAGGCCAAACCTTTTGTTTACCTTGTGTATCTGGGGATTTCATGAAATCACCAGCAACGCCTTCTGTGGTTCTCAGAGGCCAAAAAGATTTTAGAAAGTGATGTTGTCCCTGTTTACACATTTAATCCAACTGTATGGTCATCCAGAGAAGCATTAGAGGCTGACCTTCTCTTTCTTCATTGATATGGTCTCACTCCCTTGGGAGGTTGAGATAGTAAGGAAGAGCAAGAAAGAACATGGAATTTGGAAGGTGCTCCATGAGGTTGACTCTTAAGATGGGTCTTTCCCTCCACTGCTTACCTTTGACATCTTCTTCTGTGGTCTGAGTTGTAGTGGTGATGGTGGTCTGAGTGATGCTGTCATCGTAGTATTCTGGTTCCACAAAATAGTCATCCCTGGCAGCATGGAAGAGGTTAGAGTCAGGAACACTCTCTCCAGGAATCTCTTCCTCTTCTTCTTCCTCCTCCTCCTCCTCTTCTTCCTCTTCTTCTACCTCCTCTTCCTCTTCTCCATCCATATTCCTGTCTTCCTCCAATTCCAAGCTTTCTTCCTCTGTTGGAATACGTCCTGTTGGTACTTTATTGCTGAAGAAAAAAAAATCCATCAAGTTAATATCTCAAACAGATCCATCAAGCAAGAGGATGCATTTATAGGAGCAGGGCAAAGGAACCAGAGAGACTTTTCCCCATGAGAAAAGGCAAATATTCCTTTCAACTATATAATACCTGTAGGAGCAGTGTCTTCAATTTTGCACTAATAGATAAATTGTATATGCATATATACATACATACATACATATATCTAAACATTTCCTTGCAGATTTTCCTTTAAGATCCAGATCCAGAAAAATTCAAGATTAAATAAGCCTTGCAAAAATAAGTTGTGGATCTGAATGTAGATCTTAACCACCTTCCTAAGCAGATGGCTAACCTATTGGCTCACCTGCGCAGGGCTTCCTCCCTTAAATGGGCAACCACAGGGGGAGCCTCTGTAGATTGTTCCACCCTGATGGCTGGTGGGCGTGAGGGGCAGCACACATACTCCACACCTCGGAAACGGTCAGCTCCACAAGGTAGTAACATGCCATAGCTGTGTAGCTCAAGATGTTCACCACTGCAGGCCTGAAAGGTGGATATGAACAAGGTTAAAATGCTGCAATGTAACACCCTGAGACTGGTTCACACAACACCTTGAACCTGCCTAGAGTGCCATGTAAACCTAGGCCATACAGTTGAGTTTTATCATGTGAACTCAGATAACTGACATGAGCAACACTGTGTGTGCTTTGAAAACTTGTCAGCCTTACTAGGTAGACCAGACTGGAAACGTGACCATATGAGCTAATTCTACTTTACTGTAAAGCTATATTAACAGCATCTTTCATGTCTGAAAATACAATTCTACTCCCATCTCCTTGGTTTTTTCCCCTATAATCTCTTGCATCGGGGTGGAATCGGGGTGACTGAATGAAGTTGAGAATTTACTGGCCGGATGCCCTTCCTGACGCCTATACAGAGTTCGCAGCAGATATTTTCTCTATACACTCCAAGAGAGAAATATCTACCACTACCTAGGATCGAACTTACAGCCTCCTGATTGTGAGGCAAGAACTCCACCTCTAGGCCACCAGGCCACACCTACCCTCATCTCCTTTACAGACTGAAAAACTAGAGAGGGTTTCTGAGCCTCTTTATCTACCTGTTATGCAGCTGTGGGCTATGCTGTCTCTTATTTGGCTGTTCCCTAAGTAGCATCTCTGCGCCCGCTCTCCCAAGGTCTTTCCAACATACCATTACAAAACTGGCTTGGATTAGGTAATCATCATAGCTATGTTTAACCACAACTAAAAATGATTTGATCTGGGTGAACACTAATTTAGGAGAGGGCTTGATTCCGACAACCATTAGGAACAGCCATTGCATCTTCATGTGTCCTTTCCTTCAAAAAGCAGTTTTGATGCAAGGATCTTAACATATTATGCCAGAGTTTTCCATTATACCTGAAATGTGGAATTCTGGGTTCATGCTAGTCAACAGGCCAGAAAAATACTACAGGCATGGAGAAACATGAAATTGGGGAAAAGCAGAAACACCCTCATGAAGTTCACTTTGGCTTCATAATCATGGTTAATGAAGTTATGTGTGATAACCCAAATTGGCCTTTCATTTGAGTTTGTCCACGCTGAAAATGGAGTTGTACACATTTATGCATAGAGATCATGAATTGGCACAGCCACAGCACCAAGCCAAAGTTTGGCTCTATGTCAGAATGCAACCAGCTCACAAACACCAACTTGGATGTGTTCTACATTAAAAAAGAGCAAATAGAGCTTAGAAAACTTGCTTCACAATAATCCAGCATTCTATAAGCATTTGGTGAAATAAAGACACTTACACTATTTGTTTTTTCCATTGCATGGGATACCTTACATATTCCTCTGGAGCTGCTAGTACAGGAGAGGAACAGCCTGGGGCTTCCCATGGTCTTTAAATCCTGGTCTTACTCACTGCTATAAACCTTAAGACATGTGAAGTTTGAGTATTTCACCACATCTGTCCAACTTTCTCTTTTAAAAGAACAAGATCACCATCAAACCAATGTTTTCAGACGTTCCCACTGTCTGGCTAATGTTCAATGTGGTTTCTCCTAGACTGCTTATCCCATGATGACATTTCCCTAGAGACTTTAATAAGAAGGCAAAGAAGCAATCCCTTATCAACCCTGTTTGGAGGAAGGGCTCAACAATTCAGCATGGTCTTGATAAAAATCTCTTTATCTCTTCAAATCCTTGCCAGCTCTTTTAACTTCCATGGACTCAAGTGGAAATGCTGGAATGCACTTGATAAGAAGCCCACAGCAACTCACCTCTTTAGCCACACTATGCCAATACAAGTAGGTCTCACAGGAGTCCATTTTCTCTTGGTGTAGGAATCTGCACTTGTCTGGTACAAGAAGTGCTTCGCTCACAAACTCGCCCACTGGGGGAAGAGAACAGCAAGTAGGTACTGGTGTCAAGGGTTTATTACTTTGTCCTAACAAGGAGCAATGGTGAGGTATTTATTGTAGCTATGCCTGGCAGGATAGGCTACAATTACTAAGATTATAATGATTCCTCTGTTCTTCCATGTTTTTGGGTCACTAATGGAGGGTTTTTATTGATTACAACTCTCAGCATCCTTGACCATGCTAACTCGGGATGATGGGATCTAGGATCCAATAGTTTAAGATCAGGAAATCTTCACGTTCCACTGCTCCACCACTTTGATTCTTCACACAGAGAAAAGTAGCTTAACAACACTACACCAGTTTAGAAGGCATGAAAGTTTGTCCTCAAATTTTCCTCGAGGTAGATCAGATTTGGTCTGATCGTGACTAACTCCCATAATACCCAGTCAAAATGGCCTGGAATTATGGGATCTGAAGTCTGACAAGCACAGAAGGTATTAATTTGCCAAAGGTTCATCAGGATGGACGAAAGTTTAATTTGACAAAAGACAAGATTGCCATCAAAGCATGTGCAAAGCAGGCAAGAATGAAAGATTTATCTCTCTGGACAAGCAATAGATCTCATTTCTGTAAAAAAATTCTGCCTGGAAAAGTAATAAGGTAAAAAAATATCTGCAACTCCAAGTTTGGAAAACTCCAAGAATTGCAAGATATATTCTGAGTTAATTATAGGGATAGACAATTTGGTGTCTTTGGGTTTGGGTTGCAACTCCTAATTCCTTGTCACTGGCCATTCTGCTGTGCCCCATGGATACTGAGTCTCTAAACTATTGACGGATTTCAAGTTGCTTACTTTGCTAATTATAATGCAATAAGCATTTAGAAAAAAAAGTGCTACCACTGCACTTTTTCCTGGAAAGAATGACACACAGAAGCCTTGCGCACAATCAATTTCTGCACCAATAGCAGCTTCTTTATTTCTGCTCAAAAATAAAATCCCACTGAATTGGGCTAAGTGCATATAACTTCCAATTCCACTGAATCAGAGCTAAGTGTATATAACTTTGTAGCATGAGTCAACACCAGGGTTTCTGAACCTCGGCAGGTGGAGGATGGGTGGACTTCAACTTCAACATGTTGGCTGGCTGGGGAATTCTGGGAGCTGAAGTCCATCCATCCTAAATCTGATGAGAGTGAGCAACACTGGACTACACTACACATTTTAAATCTTGAGCCCCCATTTGCCAAAAGGTTCCCGAGGAAGGGGGAGGCTTGCAACTATCAGTAGCAAGACACTCCTTGCCTTCAAGCTGATGCTTTCAAAGGCACAACACCCAAGGGAACAGAAGGCGCAAGGCAAATAACAACAACACATGATTTCACTCCCAATTTTAAAGTCAGTCCTTATCATCCCCAAACAGTTCAGGCAGTTGGACTCTGTGCTTACCAAGACACTGGTAGGGTACCACAATGTGCATCTGGCCTTTGCATAATGACCGGCCCTTCTTGCACCAATTGTCTATGGTAACTGGCTGCGTCCCTTCCACAGCATTAGTGATCTGCAGCTCTGGATATACCTGCAGGGCAAATGGCTGTTAGTAGGGCATCAAACAGAGGGCAGAGAAAAGCAGGCCATTCTCCCTTGAGACACTTCAGAGGGTGATGTATAAATGCACTCCATCTTGCTCCTCTGAATAGCACCTCTGGAGTTGCTGATCCCCCTTTTCCATCCATGTATTCTACAGTTTTAGATTGGCTTAGCTTCAGAGATGTTCCGTCATCTCGGTAGTACAATACCGTAAATAGACAGGAAAACAAACAAATGGATCATAGAATACATTAATCTACAGCTCTCACTCAAGATAGTAATTATCAATTTCAAATTATCACATTTTGGATCAATCGTGCATGGTAGAAGGAAAGGGAAGGAGAGGACAGTCAACAGCAAGATGGATGTGCTTCATTATAGTGGTGGTAAGTGCACTATTGAAGGATCTGAAGGACCAGTTTTGGTGCAGATCATCTTAGAGACTCTAGCCATGTAAGGTTTTGCCAACTTTGCCAACTTTAAGACTTGTCAACTTCAACTTCCCAAGTTGAAGTTCACATGTCTTAAAGCTGCCAAGGTTGGCAAACTCTGATCCAATATGAGTCAACCCCAAATGGATGGTAATTAAGTCCAATAGATAGTTTGGTTCTTGTTGGGACTTGGTGGTAGTTTTCTTTGCACTGAACAATAAGTGTGAGATGACACACTCAATGTTATTGAAGGAACAATCCAGATCCTTGAAGGAGGAAAAAAAGGACCCAATAGAAATACAGATAGTAACCATTTGAAGTTATGATGGACCTAAGTAAGGAGGTTACATGTGTCCTGGTTTTGAAGTTACAATGGTTGGGCCACCCCCACAGTCATGTGATCACACTTCAGACATTCAGTAAGCAGGCCACATTTATGAGCATTTGCAGCATCTCATAGTCATGGGCAACATTTTATGACCATTTTACTGAAAACCGACATTTATTTTTGTGTGTGTATGTGGGTGGGGGGAGGTTGGCAAAACTACTGGCTGCCACAAAAAAGATCATAAAATCAGGTCGGTCATATGACCAGCCTGCTTTGTGACCATCATGACTTACAACATGGAGCCTACCCATTACAGTTGTAACTCAAGGACTACCTGTAGAACATGTGACTTCTCTTTCCCTCCGTTAACCCCAGTTGGAGATTCTGTCAGAGAGTTTGAGAAAAATTTAAGAGGAACTGAAGGTTGTTTCCTGAGTTCCTAGGACTGTCAACAGAAGAGGTGTTGGTTGATTAGACAAGAATAGGCCTGGTGGAAGCAAGGGGGTGCTGGGGTGGTGGTGGAGGGTTAATATTTTATTATTTTTATTATTTTTATATTGTGCTTTTATGTCCTGTAAGCCACCTTGAGTCGTGAGTAGGCGACAATATAAATTTTCTAAATAAAACAAAGAAAAATAAACCAAGAGGAGGCTGAAAATTAAAAAAAGATGGATTTGTAGGAACATCAAGATTGACAGCAGAAGGACTGGCTCAGAGGAGTCGTGATGAAAGAGTGGGAAGGTGGTGATGACATCAGGAGAAGGAGTACAGGTAGTCCTTGACTTACAACCATTCATTTAGTGACCGTTCAAAGTTACAATGGCACAGTCCCAGAGTCATGTAATCACCATTTGCGACCTTCCCAGATGACTTCCAGCAAGCAAAGTCAACTGGGGGGGGGGGGAACCTGGATTCGCTCAGCAACCATGTTACCAACTTAACAATTGCAGTGATTCACAATAGCTTGGGCAAAGAAAGTTGTAAAATGGGGTAAAAACCCGCTTAACAACTATCCTGTTCTAGCAACGGAAATTTTGGGCTCCGTTGTGGTTGCAAGTCAGGGCTGCCTGAAGTTGGAAACAGAAAAAAGTGAGCTTGGAAGGATGGGAAGAAGATGGGGGTTTGCACGTTTATGAATGTAAGTGTGTGTGCTTGTGTGCGTGCGTGTACACACGCCAGTTTGTGTACCTCCTGGCAGTAGCTCCGGATCTCCTCCGTGGTACGAAAGCAGGTGCGAGTGTTGATGGCATCAGGCTCCCAGCGTCCTGTCTGGACGTTGAGATGGAGGACCAGTTTTCCACAAAACATGGCCACTTGGGGGGTCCCCAGGGTGGGCCCAAGGGATGCCCCTATTCCCTGAAAGCACAAAAAAAGGGGGGAAGATTAGTCGACGTCTGGCAAAACGCCAAGCAGATGTGCTGGTCATGCATTGTGGCTGGGATAGGACCACAGCCAAGGTGACATCCATGGGGCATCATCTGTCACGCAAGGTTCTTCCACTTCAGCAAATTCCCCCCCCCCCGTCCCCTTATTTTATTTTATTTTATTTTTATTTTTTTGTACATCTACCTGCTCTTTCTCTCCTTGCTGTCTCTTTTCCCACCCCTCCCCATCTTTGTTTGCACCATCTTTCTTTCTGGCTTCTCCTCCTCCAGTAACCACCAGGATGTTGTTGCTGTGGTAACCGCTCCCAATGGAGTTGCCAGATCTTCTCTGTTGCCATGGAGACCAGCTCCCAGATGGAAATTAATACTGCATCACCAGCCCCTTCCCTCTGCTGTTTCTCTTCACAGGGTCCACCCCCACTTGCTGGCCCTTCCTCCTCCACCTCCTCTCCTTCTTTCTTCCTCACCTCACCTTTCTTCCCCTTCCTCTCTCTGCTCCCTCTTCCACGAGACTCCCCATCCTATTATTCACCCCTCTAACAACAGCTGCTTGCAGCATCACAGCAATGATGTTGGGAACCACCTCTCAGAAGAAGGCCAAAGCTGGCCAGTTTTGGTTGAACCTTTGCTCCTGTACCTGAGTAAGCAAAACGCAAGGGCTGCATTCCCACAATATGCTATTCCCAGGAACGTAGCATCCTAAAATATGCCAGACTATATCAAAACCCAATCGTGGGTTGTGCAAAATCAAGGGTAGCAGAAGCTGGTGGGGTCCTTATCTCCTCAGTTCTATCTGCCCTTCCTTCTCACAGGAGCCTCAGCTTGAGCAACAAAGCTGCTTCCATAACTGCAGCCTTCCTACTCAAACAACAAACAAGCATCCATTCACACGGCCTCACCAGCTAGCCAAATCAGAAAAAAAGCTTTGGGCCAAAATACTGGAAGCAGTGAAAGAGATGCTGGCTCTGGGTTGGAAAAGGCCATGAAATGCAGAGTCTTTGAAGAGGCAGACAGAGCACTTTAAAAAAAAAAAAAAAAGAAGGATGGATGCTCCGAGAATACTTGAGAAGACGCTTGAGGGTCAGTCCCCACAGAATGGGGATTTTGAGAGCTGCAGATGACCCAGACAGAAGCAGAGATGTAACTGTCAATTTCTCTTTCCCGCCCTGCCACTCCCACCTCTGGGCTGAATTTCACCAAGCACGTCAGTTTCATCAAGTACATCAACTTCTCTTTTCTGGAAAGTGACAATTTTAAAATCAGGAAATCCCCCACGCTCCGACTTCTCATACCCAAAAGAGAAGTGGGAAGCACAGAAGGGAGAGTAAGTGGGCTGCATTCAGGATACTATACCCGGGGCTTATTTTTTTTTCCTGGGGAGGGTCAGGATGGAGGAGCAAAGAGGGCGGGGTCCACCTAATGGAGTTTTTTTTTTTTAATGGAGGGGCAAAGGAGAAATCAGGCCTGGATTAAGCTGGATCTCATGGCTAAGCTGGTGCTTTAAGCGATTAAGCAGCTGCTGCAGTTTGATGGAAAGCTGACCACTGGACTCTACATCAAATGCAGGGCTGGGGAAGGGAGGGAGGGAGGAGAAAGAGAAGAGAAAAGAAAAGAGCGGAGTGGATTCCAAATTGAGGGTCCCGTCTGCCTGGCTACCTCTGAAAATAACCCTGGGATGGCAGGAAGGTGGCAGCTGGCTTGGGTAGGAAGCAGTTAATTGAGACAGGATTAATAAATGAGCTTTAATCCCTGCTTCTGCTCCCCCTACCTGGCATTTAGTGAGCTGAGCTGGAAAGGGAGGAAGGATCAACCTGGTTCCCCCTTCTTTCTCCCAACCTTGTCTTTGCCTTTTACAATAGGGCAAAGATGGGGGAGGCGGGAGGAAGAGGAAGCTTGCAAAAGGAATAAAGGCCTCTGAAAAGGCTTCTCTCATCCTTCTCCTCCCCCCCTCCACGTGCCATTGGGAGCTGCTTTCTCTAGTTCTCCCCTCCCTCTCTTCCCCTCTCCAGCTGATGGAAGGCCACCAGACTGGGGGCTGCTCCAGATGACCAGGCAAGATGGTTAAAGGCTGGGCTTCTGGCCAACCGAGCAGCAGGGCAGGGGCGCCAGGGGTGAGACAAAAGGAAGGTAGCCCTTCTGCAGGTCTGAAGAATTGGGAAGGGGGTGAGTGGAAGGCGAGGGAGGTTGCTGGTCCACTGCACACAGGAGGAGCAGAGTGGGGAAACGAGGGGACCCTGCGGTTGGATGACGTCCCTTCTGGCAGTGGGAGAACTTTCCCAAACCTTTCCCAAGGCTATGGTCTTTAAGGGAGCCCCCCCCCCAAGTTGGAAGTCAGGGGAATCTGGGATAGAAAATAGCCAGGGCTGAAGGCTGAGGAAGAAGTGACCACAAGGTGGACAGTGCCTTTGAACATCTATGTAGCAGGACCTTGTCCAGCCTCTCTTGGATAAGAATGAGATAAATTCCTCCCACTCTGTTAAGCCACATATGGGGAATGTTAGCATCATCCAGCTAGAAGATGCTTCAAAGGTCCTCTAGATGCTTTAAAGGTCATCTAGTCTCATCCCGTTGCTGCTGCACTAGAAACTGTCCCTCCTCCCCCCTTTTAAAGTCCTTTAAACTACGTACATTCCAATTGGGAAGACAAAATCATTTGATCACATTTATTTGGGGGCCCTTTTATTGTCCTTTTTTAGGATTGAATGGACATGCGGCTTCAGCTGTTGTTTGTACCCGCCTAAGGGAAACAAAGGTGAAGTCACAGGCTTCCCAAACACTAGTAAGTCAAGCAGGGACACGTAAGGGCGGCACTGTGCGTGTAGTAGGTGCAACCTCGGTTGACTTTGCCTCCTACAAGAGGAAAAGGTTGGGTTGGAATCTCTTGGACATCTGCCCAATAAAAAAGGTGACAAGAATTGCATGGCTGAATACAGATCGAGGCCTTTGAAGATTGTGCCTGCATTCTCAGCCAGCCCTGTGCCTTTGATGGTCGTGCACACAAAACACAGCCCTTTCACGAACAGGGTGCATGCATCGTGGTCAGCTAAGCTTTCCTCAACCACAGTTTATCCGCCAAGCTGCAACTGCCTGGGTTCACACATACCACGAAACCACAAAGCATAGCTTACAAACAACAAAGATGGAGTTCCTATGACATGCAGCATTACACCAAAACGAAGCAAACTATCTTATGGCTAATTGTGGTATATAAACCTAGTCTAAGGGTCCCCATCCTCTGGAATCATTGACTCCATTGATGAAGAAGAGACAGAATGTGCTAACATTGAATGTTCTTTAGGATTCTGTTCAGCCATGCCCTCTTTCAGCATACTTCTCCCTAGACAGGCATTTTTTGGCCATCCATCAACCCTCTTCACTCTTCACTAAGCTAGTTCAGCCATTTCCCTTAGTCTTCCTCCCTCCCTCCCTCCCTCCCTCCTCTCCTTCCTTTTCATTCCTCCCTCCTTCTTTTCCTTCCTTCCTTTTCTCTTTTTCTTCCTACCTTCCTTCCTTCCTTCTCTTCTTTCCTCACTCCCTTCCTCTTTTCCTTCCTTTTCTCTCTCTCCCTCCCTCCCTTCCTCATTGCCTCCTTCCCTCTCATTCCTTCCTCCCCCTTTTCCTCCCTTTTGTCTTTTCCTTCCCTTCCTTTTCCTTCCTCTTGCCTGCCTACCTGCCACTGTTCAGCTCTCTAGTGGTACTAGTTTCCTAGGAGTGGACCACATCATTTTGGATACCTGAGGACAAGTCCATGTGCAACGGAATGGCTAGACTCAGAACCTTGGTAATCTAGTGGCTTTTCCAATCAGCAGAATGCACTAACAACCTGCATTCTTGTGAGGTTGAAAGTAGCTGTGCGGGTGTCGCTAACTACAAAGGAAGCTGCATTTAGTTCCAGAACACTGAGGCATAAGAAGTGGGAGGGGAAGAAGGCTCACTTACGCCTTGCTCAAGAAACATGTTTGCTACTCGCTCATCGTTCAACCCAGATTTTCTACGGTGCCGTCTAGACAATTTTGCAGGAGAAATTCCACCCCACAGCCAGGTTCCCCCAGATTCCCCCCCCGTGTTTTGCAAAAGAGCGAAGCCCCCTCCTCACAAAAGAGAATAAAATCTCTCTCAATCGACAAAATTCAAGTATACAAAACCTAGGCATGGCCTCACATCATGGGCCAGAGTCCTATCATGGGGTTTTCTAAAGAGAGGTAGCGTTGAACGTCTGGCAGCGCCTGTCATTCTGGCCTGAAGGCTCCCCACATTTCTGAATGAGGCCTTTCAATGACCCAGGCTGGGGGAGGATTGGCGGGTGTCCTATCACCCAGAGCTGGGGGGGGGGGAAGGAGCGAAGGGGCTGCATTATGACCAATGTCACATGCAGTCTGGAATATTTGTGATGAGACTTGCTGATGCCCACTGCCTCTTATTAAAACTGTAATATGTATTTGACCGTCTCCAGATTTTGGAGCCGAAGAGCTAAAGTGAGACACATTTAACCGATGATTCCAAATGGATTCTGCCCAATAAGCTATCCATGATCAAATGCTGACAACGCCACAGAAGGAATAAATGATGGTTACGGGAGACCCTATACAAGCCCATTACCTCCCTGTGAACACCAAGCCAGGATTTTTTGGGTTGTCCCCCAATGAGGGTGACAGGTTGTGAGTGCCTTTGGCAGGATTTGGATACATCAGGCAGGGTACCCACTAGGCTGTTGGACAGTTGAGACCAATCCTATGGCTTGAGGTCATCTAGTCTTATTTCAAACCCATCTTCTGGATATTTGCCCCCTAGAAGTAGGACAGCATCTCCTTCATCTACAAGGCCTGTGGAAGCCATGGGTCTCTGGCCATGTTTGCTGAGTACATCAGTTTTTGCAACGGGCCAATCCACTCACGAGACAGAGCAAGATGGCCAAATACGATC